CGCGCCTCCCGTCTCGGGCCCCGGGCCCAGCCCGCACGGGTCGCCCGGCCCGCTGCTGCCGCCGCGCTTCTACCCGCGCTACGTGCTGCCGCTGGCCTTCGGCAAGTACTTCGCGTCCGTGTCGGCGCACGTCAGCATCTGGAAGGTGCCCGTGTCCTACGCGCACACCGGTGGGTGCCGCGCCGCCCGGGACTTCGTGCATGGGTGGGAGGCGCCGTGCGCCGGTCGGGGACCTGGAACTCCGGGACAGGAGGTCGGCAGAGGCCCGCCCAGGCTGCGGCAGGGGAGGCACACGCACAGGGTTCTCAGGGAGGAAGGGGGCTGAGAGGGGAGCCCAGCAGGGCTGGCCGCAGCTGTTGGGTGGGGAGGAAGCCCTGCGCAGAGAGAAGGGTCGAAGAGTTCTGAGCGGCTGTCACTCCGCCGTGGAGGTGGAACAGGTCCCCTGAGCGGGCCCTGGGACTTGGGCAGCGCCCTGAGCGACCTTCCCTCTCTTTGCAGTCAAGGCCACCATGCCCATCTGGGTGGTACTCCTGTCCCGGATCATCATGAAGGAGAAGCAGAGTACCAAGGTAAACCCAGGCAGTTGGGGGCTCCAGGGTCTTCCCGGCTGCTGCCCAACTGGTGACGTGGTCCAGGCTTCTGGCCTGCAGGCTGCCTGGCTTTCTGTCAAACAGGGAAGTCAGTGTAGAGGCCTCTAGTGGCTCTTTTGCTGCTGACGTTCTGGAATTACCCTGCGGGCAGGCAGTGGTGGAGTGTGTGCTCTTTTGTGCTCTCTGCTCTGTGGTCTCAAGGATGCCGCCATCCCTCTAAGGTCCAACCTTCCCCCACGTTTTGATTCCCTACCTGAGATTGCGGATAGGTGATGACTTGGTCATATCTTGACAAGTCACCCCATGCATGCCTCTCCAGTGGGACAAGGGATGGATCAGCACTCTGATAGGTTTTCACTTGCGAGAGAATGGTCAGGTAGAGGACTTCTGGGATGAGAAGTGAGATGCTAGTCAAAGGAGTTTGATTTTGGCAAAATGCAGCAAAATCTTGGAAATTAAAACAGCTAGGAATTGTGATTGTCTGGGAATGGCATTGAGAGCAACACACAGAACTCAGGGCTACATTAGGAAGATGCTTTGGGCACAGTCCAGGACCTGTTCATGATGCCAAGCCAGGGTATTTCCTGGCTTGGAGTGAGAGAAGCCACGGCTTCAGCCAGAGACAGCCTCACCCCGTGTCTTTAAGTGGAAGTGGGTCTCCTGTTGTCCCAGCTGGAATCCATTTCATGCTGGACACAGCCCTTCTTTTCCACTTTTCCAAGTGGTCAGTTTCTGGCATCCTGTATTCTATGTAACTCTGAGAGGCAGTGCCCTGGATCAGCTTATAGAAATTGGGCCACTTCTGGCTGATTTTTTTTTTTTCCAGCCTATATTCATCCCAGCAAGACCTGCAGTATCAGGTCTGACTTGCCTCCCTGGGGGTCAGAGTTGCCCGGGAGGTGTATGGCCGCATCACCTGGTAACACAGCATGTTGATCACGTTTCCCTGTTGTATGGGGCATTGTAACCGGTTTGGGCAAGGAGCTGGAAACTTGACACACTGAGGAAAGATTAGGGATTGGCTCTTTTAGGCAGGCAGGCTAATGATAGTGATGTAATAACTTAGTAGGGACCCACCCTGTGAGGCAGGTAAGGCCAGTAATCAGCATTCCTGATCTCCAAGGGAAGAGTTGGGGCTTCAGAGGGGAGAGTCACAGGCCTGAGGGCTGCAGCCAGTAGTGGGGCAGTTGGAATTCAGGTCCCCCAGTCCACAGACCTTGCTCTGCCCTCCTGGGGGACAGCACTACCCCTTCCTAAAATCTCCACCTTGCCTTAAGAGTGCTGTTCGTTGGAGAGGGATGACTCAGAAGAGCTGGACAATGGAGAATGGGTCCCAGTGGATCCTGGGAGTTCGGAGCCAGTTAGCCACCAGGCCCTGGCACGCTGACCTTCTGGAAGGCCTCCTGTCACTATGTTTGCTATGTGTTTATTCAGCTAGCAGCTATTGAGTGCCTACTGTGTGCCAGGCACCAGGATAGAGTAGTGAACAAGGACCTACCCTAAAGTTGTGCCTGGTCTAACTGGGCCCAGATGATGTAATTGGCAGGTGTACTGAGTGGAGAGCTCTGTACTGGGGAAGCCCAGGTGATGGCCATGGGAACACGCCAGCACAGGAACCTTCCAGAGTGGAGGTGGGTCAGGGAACGTTCTCCTTGCGAATGGTGGGTGAGCTGAGACCTGAGGGGAAAAGAGGTAGCCAGTGGGAGAAGGCGACAGTGTGGTGTCCCAGCCAGCACATTGGAAGAGCGTGAAATAAGAGGAAGCGGATCTCAGGATCAGGGCTTCAAGCCCTGGGTGTGTTGCTGCAGCTGGATAGATCAGTTAGCTTAGGACCAGCCCTGGTCTGTGGCTCTGAGCAGGAACTCTTGATGGGGGCTGCCCACAGTAACACAAGCCCTGCCCAAGGTACTCTGATAACCATTTGTCCCCACCGCCCGGTATCCTGTCTCAGAAGATGCCATTTTTTGGAGGGGTAGGGGGTGTCCCTTCGGTGAGGGAGGAGAGAGCAGCTGATGCTTTCCTCCAGGCACCTGCGGCGGGTGGCCCCCTCCAGTCTGGCCTGTCAGCCTCTCCTGCCCTCCTCTTGCAGGTGTACTTGTCACTCATCCCCATCATCAGCGGCGTCCTGCTGGCCACCGTCACTGAGTTGTCTTTTGACATGTGGGGGCTCGTCAGCGCCCTGGCTGCCACGCTGTGCTTCTCTCTTCAGAACATATTCTCTAAAAAGGTATCCGGGCATCTCACAGACATGTATGGTGTTGGGGGCAGGGGGTGCGGGTAGCAAGCCGATGGCATTTGCGAAACTGGCCAAGCGGAGATTTCTTCAGTGTTGGAGCAAAAAAAAAATCTTACATTCCCTTCTGCAGATTTTGTTTGTTGTTTTGCTTTTCAAATAGTTTGTTTTTCTCTTAGAAAATTAACATATGCTGAACAAGAAAAAATAGAGAAAAGCCCAATTTTTTTTTTTTTTGAGACCGGCCGCACCGAGCTCAGCCAGTGAGCACTGTGAGCGAACCGGTCATCCCTACATAGGATCCGAACCTGCGGCGGGAGCGCTGCTGCGCTCCCAGCGCCGCACTCTCCCGAGTGCGCCATGGGCTCAGCCTGAGAAAAGCCCAATTTTTTTTTTTTTGAGACCGGCCGCACCGAGCTCAGCCAGTGAGCGCTGTGAGCGAACCGGTCATCCCTACATAGGATCCGAACCTGCGGCGGGAGCGCTGCTGCGCTCCCAGCGCCGCACTCTCCCGAGTGCGCCATGGGCTCAGCCTGAGAAAAGCCCAATTTTAAAAAAATCTAATAACTTATTGAGCACCTACTGTGTACCAGGCACTGTGGTGCTAAAGATAAAGAATCAAAAGAGACTAGCCTCCTGCCCAGGGGCTTCCACTTCCACTTTATTGAGTCAAATCACAGTCCAGTACCCTAAAGATAACTCCTCTTGACATTACATTTTTTCCTGTGCATTTCTTAGAGTTGCAATATTATAGATACATTAAAAAGTTTGGCTTTGCTTAGTTTGGAATTTTGGCATGACATTTATTTATTCCTTTCTTGAGGTGATAGCATTAATTTCAGCCAGTTATGAGTACTGAAAACATTGCACTCTATGTAATAGTGGTATATTTATTACTAAATCAATGTATATATTAATAGCACAGTCAACAAAAATGGCAAATATTAAAATATTTTCAAAATATTGTAATAAATTTTTGCTTTGCTCATTTGCTTTTATACCATAGCGTTTTCCCATATCATTAAAAGTTATTGCTCTTAACTCCTGAGATAATCACATACTTCCAGATACCACAGTTCATGCAGTTAAGTTCCCCTATTGGAAATACAGGTTATTTCCAAGTTTTGTTGTAAGTATTGCAGAAATGGTCTTTGTGTATGTTTTCTGTTTCTCAGATTATTTGCTTATAATAGATTTACAGTTCTTGGGTCAGAAGGTATGAGGTGTTTGTGGCTGTTGATATAGTTTGCCTGCTTGTATTTCCAATTAATTTTAAATAATTTTTAAATTAATCAATTTAAGGTTAAACCAGTGGGATTTCAGAGTGTCTGTTTCACTGCAGCTTCAGCAGCATTGAGTGTTACGATTTTTTTTTCTTTTTCTTTTCTCAGTCCTTTATATGTGGAACATAGTGCTTGTTTTGGGCATGTGCTGTGTATCTCATCGTAAATGGACTTGCAGGTCTGGTGTTCAAGGTTGGATGTCAGGGTTAATATACGGTCACTGTGTTGGGGGCCTGGGTAAATGGAGCCCTTCTTGCCATGTATAGTTTTACTCTGCCCTTAAAGACGCTTTCCCTCTTCAGGTATTGAGAGACTCGCGGATCCACCATCTCCGGCTGCTGAACATTCTTGGCTGCCATGCTGTCTTCTTTATGATCCCCACATGGGTTCTGGTGGACCTCTCCGCTTTCCTGGTCAGCAGTGACTTGGTGAGTTGGCCACCGCTGAGAGTGCGCTCTTTTCTTGACTGGTTCCAAGTAGGAGCTTTGTCGAGAAGCTACAGCTCTGTGTTGACTTTGAGGCTTCTTTTTTTTTTTTTGGTATCTGACAGCCAGCCCTTTCGACACTTGGCTCTGTGTTGTGACTCATGTTGCACGCAGCTGAGGAAGTGGATTTCCTTTGCATTTCCTTCTCTAGAGTGCTTGATCCCAGCTGCTGATAGCTGCTGCAGTGGTTCCTACTTCATCAAGGAAGAAAATAGGCCAGCGTGGGTGACTCTCTCCTGTCCTGACAGTCTGGTTCAGACCCCACTTCGACTTTTGTGAACTGTGCTTGCTGCACAGTTCAATTCCTTTATTGTTGTCATCTCTGACCATATTTCTATTTACTCCAAATCTATCTATACACTGAGCGCTTGAATGAGAATCCTCATGCCACCTATAGAGTCAGCCTCCAGAGAATGCTCTGGAAACTAAAGCTATGGTAAGGAGGAGGCAGGTGGGATTCTTCTAGCCCTGAGTCAGAGAGGAGTGAATGTTTAGTGAGGGCTTATTGGCTAGCCGGGTCCCTGGTCCAGCTAGATTCCCGACATTTCTTGTCTTTAATCCTTAGCAATGCCTGTAGAACTACCATATGTAATGTCCATTTTCCAGGTGAGAAAACAGTGGCTTGCTCTTCTAACTTTCCTTCCACATTGATCAGCTGTAACTTTTCTGTGAAGAACTTCCCATCATCAACCAAGACTAGTTTGTTGCCCTGAAGTACAGTACAAGAAAGGCAGTTTAATGCATAACTCTCCCTTTTACTTACCAATTTTCAGAGTAAAGAGTTGGAGCTTACTTCAAATACTGACCAGTGAGTTGAGGTATTTTTCTTTTTGTGGTGGGAGAGTTCTTTAATTTTCTCCAGTCTCATTGTGCACTTCCTGTGTTAGTTGCACAAATGATTCTTTCTCCTACTCAGTTGAGGTATTTTTCTTTTTGTGGTGGGAGAGTTCTTTGATTTTCTCCAGTCTCATTGTGCACTTCCTGTGTTAGTTGCACAAATGATTCTTTCTCCTACTCAAGGTGTCCCGTCTTAGCCAACGGAGCCCTTCTGGTCAGCTCCCTGCCCTCCCAGCAGCACAGGTCAGTCTCTGGAAGCTCTCAGCCCAGTGGGATGCCTTCCCTTCATCTTATGCATTTTCTGTCCCAGGCCTGCAGTCACAGATCCTTCAGGAACCTCTGTTGCTTTTAGTGGGGAACTGTTTAGAGACACAATCTGGGGGCTATTGTGTGCTCATTGCTGTTGGGCTGTTGTTGCTGTTAGACCTTGGCAATGAAACGCTAGGAAGTACATACTTGGGGGCCGTGGGGTACAATTCACAGTGATTAGCTCCACTTCCAACTTAATATGCCAGGGTCTTTGCTGCTTTGATTTTTTATTTATGTCTCATTTCTTTTTTTGTTTGTTTTTGGGGTTTTTTGGTGGCTGACCAATGCAGGGATCCAAACCCTTGACCTTGGTGTTACCAGCACCATGCTCTCCCAAGTGAGCTCACCGGCCAGCCCTATCTGTCATTTCTTGTGTGCTTGGTTCCTGTCCACTTTTCTCATCTGTTTTTTCTACCCTAGTTATTCATTATTCTCCTACACACTCAAGCGTATAATGGCTCCACAGGGAGAGGCCTGATGGTACGCCCACAACTAGAGTACTGAGAGTAGGTGAAGAGTTCTTTGCAGCTCCATTTGTCCTTAGCACTTGTTCCATTAAAGAGGTGGAACTGGAGTACAGTGTTCTTTTTTTTAAAAAAGATGACCAGTAAGGGGATCTTAACCCTTGGCTTGGTGTTTTCAGCACCATGCTCACCAGGTGAGTAAACCGGCCATCCCTATATAGGATCCGAACCCGTGGCCTTGATGTTATCCGCACCACACTCTCCCGAGTGAGCCACAGGCTGGCCGTGGAGTACAGTGTTCCAAGATCACTTGAAATAATTGTTGTCACAGTGTGCCTGTGTCTCCAACTTGTTATGCAATTGGGTTCATTTACTTCCATTTATTTTTAATTTTTAGCAATTGCTTGCCCCACAACTGAATATGTAAAGCCTTTATAGTTTCAAAACCAAACTACACAATAAGGTTTATTCAAAGAAGTCTGGCCTCCATCACTGTCCCCTCCCGTCCCCTTCCCATAGGTGACTATTTGTATGCTCCTGGTTTATCCTTTCTTTTTTTTTTTTTTTGCAAAAAGTTTGTGGGGGCCGGCCCGGTGGCGCACTTGGTAGAGTGCGGCGCTTGGGAGCGCGGCGGCACTCCCGCAGAGGGTTCGGATCACATATAGAGACCGGTCTGCTCACTGGGTGAGCGCAGTGCAGACGCGACACCGAGGGTTGCGATCCCATTACCGGTCACGAAAAAAGACAAAAAGGGGGAAAAAAAAAAAAAGTTTGTGGAAGAATAGAATTTTAAAATAACACAAATCTTTCCACAATCTTTTCGAAGTACCCTTGTATAAGTAAATTTGCATATACATATCCTCCCTCCTTCTTACACAAAAAGTGACTTTTTAGATATAGGAGGTTACTTTAAAAAGTTTGTGGAAAAATAGAAGTAAAAGATAATATGAATCTTTCCATGAACTTTTTAAAGTACCCTCTACTATCCTGCACCTTGCTCTTTTCACTTAATATGTCCTGCGGATCACTCCATATTGATGGATAAGGTCTTTCTTGCTTCTTTTATTATCTGTGACATATTGTCAGTAGGTATGGGGTCAGTTCTCATCCTGTTCTATGTCACAACTCACTGGTTGTGACATATACACACACAGACGTGAATATATAGGCTTTTGCTACGGTCTCTTGTCTTTGCTTTTTCTTGTATTTAGGACTTTTGTCACTTTCTTCTGGTGATCATCTTTTGTAATACCTTAATAATCTCTCTTTTTCAGTTGAGGCGCTATATATATATCATATATGTATTTTAACATGAGGGGGTCCTTGTACATTTTAATAGCAGCCCTAGGAACACAGTGTTCAACAGTTGCTGCCTGAAGGTGGGGTTCCCACATATCTGGGCTCTTCCTCTTTGTCACGTGTCTCCCATGTAGATGGACACAGATGCCAGGTTAGTTGGCCCTGTGCTCTATCATGGGAGGGGGGAGGAGCAGATGGTCTGGGCTCTTCCTCTTTGTCACGTGTCTCCCATGTAGACGGACACAGATGCCAGGTTAGTTGGCCCTGTGCTCTATCATGGGAGGGGGGAGGAGCAGATGGGAGAACATCAGCTGCTGTCTGCTGCTCACCACTTTACCAAGAATCAAAGGCTGCAGCAGGAAGTTTCTGGAGATGCCTGGCCCAGCTGCCAGATGGCTCATGAAAGCCAGTCAGCGATTGCCAGACCATGCAGCAGGCGGCCTGGCTTTAAACTTGGACAGAATTTATGAAACAGCTACTTGAGAATCGAAAAGTAAATGGTGGCAGGCAGGGTGGGGAAAAAGCCAGAAATCAAAGCGCTGCTGAGCCAGCAGTGAGCATGCCATTCTTTTCCCTCCTGTATCTCCAGCCTGGACTCAAGGCAGCCCAAAACGTGGAGGTGGGCACCAAGGGAGAACAGAGAAGCTCTCTACTTGTAGCTTGGAGAGCGGGAAAAGGGATTCCTAACCCTCAGAGAGAGTGGGGGAAATCCCCGATGGGCTTCTGTCTTCTTTCTTCCTTCGCAGTGTTAGGCCCCAGGCCTCAGGCAGTCCCATGGTGGTGCTCCAGCTCCTGTCCTGGCAGGGCCACTAAACACTGTCATCCTGGGGAGAGCCAGCTGTGTCCTCCTGTGGCCAAGGCCTATGTAGCCTGAGAATTGGCCTCCAGAAAGCAGGTGCCACTGAGCAACTGTGACCTTGCTGCCTGGACCCAGCCACGTGGGGTGTCGAGGCTGCTCTGTTCTCAGACTACAGACAGGGACACAGGACTGTCCCAGGACTCCTGTCTAGGTCACAAACATTGGGGAGACGGGCAGCCTGGGGCCATCTGTGGGTACCAAGGGGCAACCGAGGAGGTCATGGAGGCACAGGATCCAGACTGCGGGCCTTCTGGCGTCTAGCCCTGAATGCACATTTAGCAGCTGAGCTGGAATCAGGGCGGTGCCTGCCCAGTTCTCACCTGTCGGCCTGTCGTGGAAACAGCCCAGGCTCTTTGGGGGCTTCTGTGGTCCAGATGTCTGCTGATTGTGGTGTTTTGACTTCCGGAGCCCCTCAATCAGGGAGGACTCGTTCTGTGGCGAGGGTCTGATGGTAACTAAAGTGTTAATGATAATGTCACTCTTTTCTTGCGTTTGATTGGCTTGGGATTGTTTTCAAGTACTTTCTTTCTTTTTCCTGGGGGGTGGGGGTGGGGAGGGTGGCTGGCCAGTATAGGAACTGGAACCCTTGATCTCGGTGTTACAAGGCTGTGCTCTAACCAACTGAGGTAACCACCCAGCACCCTTGAGCACTTTCAAACCCATGATTTTGTTTGATGCTCACAGCAACAGTGTCATGTGGGGCGAGCAGACATCAATCCCTCCCATCCCCCATCCCGTAGCATAGATGAAGAAACTGAGACCAGAGAGGTCAAGCAGCTTGCCTAGTGGCTCATAGCAATGGGAGGCAGACCTGGGGCTCTCATGTTAATGGGTTCTTCACACACTCAAGGGCCACCTTTCCAGGACCTCCTGTTCCATGGGTTGTATCATGTCCTGTTGCTTTGTGTTGCTTCGCCCCCCATGGATTTGTCACCCCACTATCCCTGGGTGACGGAGATGCAAAGGATTACTCAAAGCCCATCTCTTCTGAGCAGTGAGAAG